GTTTGGTGATTGAGGGACCAAATTACAATAACAATAGGATGAGGAACTAATGAGCAACTTCATAGATTTTAAGGGACTATTTTTTTTTAAAAAAAAAATAACCCGGCCCGGAATCGAAACCGAGATCATGTAGCCATGTTAAAACTTTCTAATATTCAGAATCATCCGCAGTGGGTAGGTACTAATATATAAAATAACCCTAAAATATAACTCTTCACGTGCCATCTAAGTTCTTAGCCACCAATACAAACAAAAGATACATTACTTAACCTAACCATTGTGCATTCCGAGAAGCTAGATAAGAAAGTAACTAGTATTGTTCTCTTAATTAATGAACCTAATACAGATAAGCAAACTAACAAAGATTAACTAACCTCATTCGTTTCCTAATCTCACGTTTTCCCCTATAAAGTCTTGACACGTTTTGTGAAGAAGATACCTATGTTTTGCTTTCATTACTATCGAGGCAAGACCACATGGAAGAGATTAGTTGATAGATTATACATAAAGTTTAGTGCCTATATTTGTTGGTCATAATTAATAAAGTTTCATTCTAAGAAAAATGAGAAGCCTTCATAAACTGCACTTTTTGAAACCTAAGCCGGACAATATCAAGTATATTTAAAAGCATCATGCATCTTCTCTACCAGTTGCAGTATTGTTCCGAAATCAACAATTAGCAGAAAAATATCTCATTTACAGTTAGCTTCATTAAATTGAATATTTTATATGAAGTCAACTCATTTGTCTTATAGCTTAATTACCCATGAGTCTGTGGACAGAAAATTTATTCATTATTCGAGAGGCATAAGTACTCAGAAACTCATTGTCAGAGCATCTCCAACGGCTTCCCCAAAAATTTCTCCAAAATGGGGAATCAAATGTCATATTCTCCAAATTATTTTTGCTCCAACTCCAATAGCTTCCCCATTTTGAAGAATCATGCATTTATTACAATAATAAAAATATTCTACATCTTTGACTAATAAATAATAAATTATTTATTATTTTGAAGAATCCCCATTTTGACCAAATTATTTATTATTATAATGAGGAGATAGAGTTGTTTTTTGTGGGTTGAGTCTAGAAGAACGTGAAAAAATACTTCCCCAAATATTTGCAGAATGCTGCAGATTTGGGGAAGGCTCTCTATTTTTTCTCTCCTATCCCCATTTTGGGGAATGAGATGAGGAATCTGTTAGACAAAAAAAAAGCTCAAAATTCTTTAAATTTTAGAATACCAAGAAGATGGGGAAACTGTTGGAGATGCTCTCACATTGCTCTGCAAGACTGCATCTAGCTCAGCTTGGACCAAACCTGGATTTGAGAAATTTACACGGTAAGATTAGGTTCGTACACCTATCAATTAAAAAGGATGCACATGTGTCTCTACATACTTGTAGACCCATTTATTTTTCGTCCAGTGCAAAAAATAATCCTGGTTACGCCACTGCCTACGGTGCTGATACACTCTTTTAAAAAGCGGATGTAAATATTTTTAATATTTTTCTCCAAAAAATATATGTTGTTTATAAGTTTTCTCTTACATCAAGGGTTAATTGGGATAGAACCTCCAATTATATCCCAATTGCTGATTTTGACTTTTTGGCGAGTGAAAAAGAATTCATTGAGAAGGTCTATCAAGCACTTTGGACAATCAAACACGGGTCTATCTGCCCAATAAAACTCAGCAATTAGGCTACAAGTATAAGGGGTCTATCCGCAATTTGCCCTATATTAAAAATGGAGTCTTTTTATATTGAACAAAATATTTCAATTTAAAATTAATGCTTGAATTTTAGTGTCTAATTTGATGAAATTCGAACCGCCCGCCATATATGATATAGTATATATATATATATATATATATAATATATATATATGAAAGATATGGGTAGCCTTGGTAACGAAGCCACAAAACAGTTGTCGCTTGGTAAGTGGAGGTGTCACATCTCGCGCTCCATCTTGTCAAATGGGAGAGACCACTTCACATGAGTAATTAGTGGATTGGGGATGTGACACCATCACTACTAAGCAATAAAATTTGTGCTTGTACAAGCATACCCATAATTCTCTCTCTCTCCTCTCTCATCCTCTCTCCTCTCTCTCCTCTATATTATATATATATATATATATATATATGATATATAATTATAATATATAATATATATTATATTATATATAAACTTAAAAAGGCAAACCCCAAGAAAATTATTATTTGTGCTACAGTAAACAATATTTTGCTACAGAGTGATTCAAATATTAAATTTATGGTTTATCCCATAGGAAAATTTTCAGCCCTAGCTATACTATTCACATTGTAATGATTTTTCCCCGTAATATAATTTTTATCGCTTAGACATGCTTTCTATGCTGCACTTTTATGGCTCTTTACACACTGTTTAAACTGAATCAATATTTTTCAACCTTAAAAATAGTGTTCATATTTTTTTCTTACAAATGATGAATTTAACACTTACCAGATATTTTATAAATATAAATCATTTCTGGCTATATTAAATAAAACTGATAAAATTTGCTAATTGGTATATTATTTTATTAACTAATTTGAAAATTTACTACATAAATAATAGTAATTGATCATAATTTTTTTTATAAATAGTTATATATAAAAACTATATTATCAATTTAGCAATAAATACATATTTATAAATAATACGCGTAGCAACAAGCGTGCTTAATACTAAAATGAGAAAGGGTGGCACTACAGGCACACCACGAACCACAGTTTGTGGCACACCCCTCTCTCAGCTACAGTATACGGGGTCCACATGAAATTTTTAAAAAAAAAATCATGTGGGCCCCGTATACTGTAGCTGAGAGAGGGGAGTGTGTTCCAAGATGTGGTTGGTGGTCTGCCTATACCATTTCCTAATGAGAAATAAACTGGCGCTGTGCCTTGATTGTGCCTCGTATCTCCGCGTCCCTGTGTGATATTTGTACACTGAATATTTTGCCATAAAGGGGCAGAACTGTTTGAAGGTAGGGAAGTAGGGCAAAAGCACTTAGCCCGCAACCATAGCCATGTAGGCTCCATCGCCACAATGAGAGCGGTTGACCGTTTCTTACGTTAGCTTTACGAAGCCCGACATGATGGCGTGGGCCCCCGAAAATGACCAAAACTACATCCCGTCGTTTCTCCTTTTCTATTTTATAAAAATTTTCGGGTTTTTTTCTTTCTTTCTTACAATTTATTATGGACAAAATTATCACATTGATATATTTTGTTGATTGGAGTGAAGCTTTTATAAAGTCAAGTGAATAAGAGCACAAGTCCACTATTTTTTTATCCCTTCAGTATGCTTTGATATTTGTGTTACACATCAAGGCTATTTCTGAGATTTGTGTAGTGATTTGTATCACATACCAGCACAAATCTCGGTACAAAATCAATGGATAAAATAATTAGTGGACAAATGATTGCTATCCATTTAAGTTTATAGGAGTTTTACTCTTGTTGATACTATGTGATAGATTGGTATATTTTTCTTATTTCGACAACGATATGTTATATTTTATGGACCATGGTGAGGAATATCTCTATTTTTTACTCGGAGCCAAAATTCCACCCAAATAGAGTCATGTGCATTTGACGCGGCTACCAATGTGGATGGTAGTCGGGATCCTTAAAATAAGCTAAAATGAGAGTTTTTCCTCAAACTAGGGCTAAGAAAGTTAGGGCTCAAATTGGGGGTATTTTTCTTCTTCCTAATGTTAGGTTTGTTAGGGCAACTAAAATTGAAGATGCATTCATCTGCAATTTCAGTTACTATCACCAATTTAACTCCAGGAGGAAGAAAAACACCCCTCACTTTAATCCTAACTTTTTTAAGCCCTAATTTGAGAAAACTCATTTTCAGCTAATTTAATTGACTCTAATTACCATTTAAGTTGGCAACCATGTTAGAAGCACGTGGCACCTCACATGACCCTATTTGGACAAAATTTTGACTTTTTAGCGAAAGAAAATGTATATTTGTCATCGTGATCCACAAAATATACTATATTATCGCCGAAGTAAAAATATACTATATTATCGTCAAAGTAAGAAAATATACTAATATCTAACATAAGGTCAATAAAACATACTAATCTGATAATTTTTGCATTTATTATGTTGTCAAGGTTAGACCAACAACAAGAACAACAACATCATTAGTGTTATGATGGTTCTTTGCAAGTGAGGAAGAAACAATCCATATGCTGCTTAAGCCTTCATACTTTTGAGTTATATATACTTTTCCAGTCATAATACACACTACTTTCAATGTATAGCCCATTTTCAACCTTTTGATTAGTAGAGTGAAAGAAGACAAAAGAATTTTTTACTTTCATGATTCACAACTGGGGCTAAGTATGAGAAAACAAACAAGCTTGATAATATGGAAATTATCATTGCTCTCAAGAATATTTGAACAAGAAAATAACACATCACAAGTCTTTCATGGTCCCAGTATTTGTACCTTTCTAGCTTAAAAACCAAGAAATCGCCATGAAATTCAAGGTGCAACAGAGCAAGTTTTTTTTTTTTAAGTTGAAAGATCAAGAAACCCATCCCCCACCTTAAACAACCCCTGCCACCAGTCCAAACTACCACTGAACCGGGCCCAATCTCTGATCTGCTCCAGTCTGAACCTAATCCCAGCATCAAAGTGCTCTCCCTCTCTCTCACACACAACACACAAATAGTACAGTCAGTAATCAACTAGAACACCACCAACAGAGATCAAGAGAGTGGGTGACAGGGGGAACATGAGCAGAGATATCCTCCCCCATCCCTTCTCAATCTCTCATACATACTCTACATTCTGTACGCATAAACAGTAGCCCAGCATCACACAAATAGTTAAAAGGATGTGGGTTACCCCACTCCTCCATCTTGTCGCCAAAATCTACACTGTGGACCCCGCTGGCGCTACCCAATGTGGATATCCACACACTTCAAATACCCGCCCCCTCTCACTCTCCCTTCTACCCTCCCCCCACCCACTTGCCCATTTGTTCAGCTAGAGCTAGCGTAGTTCTGTGAAGCGATGAAGGAAGGGAGTAGGAAGCAAGGGGCGGTTTCACCCTGCGCAGCTTGTAAATTGTTGAGGAGGAGATGCACACAAGAGTGCTTGTTTGCTCCTTATTTCCCCGCTGATGAGCCTCAGAAGTTTGCTAATGTGCACAAGGTCTTCGGAGCTAGCAATGTCAACAAGCTCTTGCAGGTAATTTCACCAACTCGCTGGTCACTTAGCTGCAACTTATAATTTCCCTCTTGAGCAAATATTTTAGACTCCAATTTCTGATGTCTTGGACAACCGCATCAAATTTGATCGGTAGACGTGATGAGTCTTGCATGTTGGAAATGTATTTCTGAGAAATGTTATGAGTTTCCTGTTTTTTTTTTAAAAAAATTAGCCTTCGCATAGGTTTCTTTCTTCCCTTCAAAGAAAATTATTCACATGGAGGAACCATTTTCCATTTTCTAACTCTTTTTTGAGTACTCATTAGGCTGCTTTCCACTCGCCTGTCATAATTCTCTCTCATACATGTTTGATTCAAGCAACCCAACCCAAATTAACGAAACGCTTGGGTCTTGAATGAAACATGAGACGTGGTAGAATTTAGAAATCTATCATGCTAATCACATTAGTAACACATCATTCTGTTCAGTGCAGCAAGCTTAGGTTGTGTTTGTCAGTCACCTAAACACTAGTCAGGTTGAATCCTGATCCAATTCTATTCTAAGCTGGTTTAGAGCTAGACCAAGGAGAGGAGATGGTGGTTCAAAACTAAACAGGTTTTGTGGCTTCTATTTTGCCGATCAATAACAAACTTGAAACTGGGTCAAGGCTCACTTCTGGTCCAGTTTTAGAGCGTGCCAAGCACACCTTTTAAAATGACACTACAACTCCAAATTCAAAATGAAAGGATTTGGGAAGAAAAGAATCGACACCATTTTTGTGCCATTTTGCATCTGAAGTCCTACTTGTTCTCTAGCTACTTGTTTCTAAAAGAGAAAAATAAGCGGTGGAAACTATTTCTTAATTATCCTTCCTTTTCTGTTTCTTTTCTTGTTTTTCCCCAATAGTGGCCTTGAACAGCATTTCTCCTTTTTCTACCTCCTCCTCTTCCCGATGTATACCCCTCACAGCACTGCGCCCATTAGTTAAACAAGTATGCATCATAGTCGAGCTTGGGAGCTCTAAACCTTCTCCTTTTTTTGTGTACATAACAAGTGTCCTTGGAAATAATAATTTAGTCATACCCTTGTCAAAGAGCACAGGAGCCTGAGACTTTTCAGTAGACCAATAGTCCTAAGAGTTCAAACAAAACAAATCATTGTTTCACGAAATTCTCACACTCTTTATAAGACTACTTGTAGCAGGAAGGGAATTGAGGGACTTTTGGGTGCAGCAGGAGGGGAAAGGGGAGGGGAAAATTGAAAAGAAGAGCAGAAGGGGAAAATTTTCCCTATGGTGAAATCGGCCACAGTGGGCCCCATAGCTGCATTAAATTAAACTAAAAAATCAAAAGCCCCCCATAATCCCTGCCACACGCGACGTGGCAGGATTTTATTGGTCCATCAAATTTAGTTTTTTTCCTTTCTTTTAAATTGAGTTTTAGGCATTTAAAAAATTTGAATTTAATTTTTTTTTTTGCACCATTATTCTTTATTTTTCAAGATCTATAAATAGAGACTAAGTTTGTATAATTTGGACACCAAAAAAATTAATATATTTATATATTATATATTATTTATTGCTTTAATAAAAAATTATAAATATATGAGTGGCAATAATAACAATAACATATATGAAATAATAAGCAAAAATGAATTAATAATATATGGTGGTGTATATGTTGGAATGATATGGTTATGGTGTTTGGTAGGAGAGAGAGAGTAAAAATTTGCCTACCTGCTGGAGATGGTCTAAGAGAAATTGGCATTTATCCAAAAAAAAAAAAAGACAAAATTGAGTTCCTAGATAAGAACACAAGAAGAAGATGATGATGAAGAAAGAAAGTAAGTTACTGGATAAGCACACAAAGAACAGAAACTTACAGGGTAAGAACAGAAAATTACTGAACAAAAGTAATTGAATGTTTTCGAAAGCAGGGGGGTGAACCTAATTCATCTGAATTTGGGGATCTGAATTTGAGGGGATCAAGAAAACACTTTATCCTTAAAAAGAACTGCAGAAATTTGATATTCTGACAGCTTCTCTCTGACCCTTTGTTTGTCTAAAAGGAGCAGAAGCATGCAGAGCATATGTTGCTCTTTGAGGAAACAAGGGCTTAAACCAACTAATTATAAGGGATTATTAATTTATTATTAATTATTGTATAGGTGACAGCTGCCTTTGATTTCTTGCTTTAGGTAAGGAAAATTGAGAGGAATCTATGTTAATCTAATCCATCATTTTTAATCAATTACCAAATTTTCTACTGGTAACGAGGCCCATCTACTTCTATCACACTTCCAATCAAATCGCCATCGCTATGTTACAACAGGACCCAATGTTTATTTTGCCCAATGATTCTTTGGAAAATGTCATCACCTAGGCAAAACTTTCAAAATTCTTGAAGTGGTGGATCGTGTCCGCGGTCCACTGGCTGACTAATAGAGGAAATAAATCTTGGATATGTGAGGTCGCTTTTAATATCTATTTCGTATTACGAAGAAATTATCATTAATCTCAATTCAGCGCAAGAATATTGCATAAACAGTTTTCACCTTGGATCAGTATGTTAATCCCGAGTTATTTTGTACTGCACTAGCCCAAAAACAGACACTAATGCAATGAATCAGAATCATGAATCTGTTCCCTGTTTTGTACTAACATTTCCTGTTTGACCATAATTTGTCATTGCAATTAGTATCCACATTGATTTGCATACATATTTATTCACTCACGTATATATTACTGTGTCCACTAAATAATAAACAATTATAATTGAAATAGCGATATCTTTCTTATATCCTAAAACAATAGACTGCAAATATTCACTGGTGATTCTACAGGAACTGCCGGTGCAACACCGGAGCGATGCCGTGAGCAGCATGGTGTATGAGGCAAACGCTCGCGTCCGCGACCCAGTCTATGGCTGCGTAGGTGCAATCTCATCCCTCCAGCAACAGATTGAACTCCTCCAAACTCAGCTTGCCATCGCGCAGGCTGAAATGGTCCACGTCCGAATGCGTCATGCTGCATACCTCGCCCAGCTCGGGCACAGCCCAGTCGAGAGCACTGCCACCACCACCGGATCTGGGTCTTCATCGTCGACGGCGGCGACAACGACACCATCTTCTCCGAATTTTATGGAGATGCATGATGGAAAGGCTATGTTTGGGCTGGACATGGTTGTGGACCAAGCTAATATAAGCCAGCTGATGTGGTCTTGTTAATCAATGGTTGTGTTGGTGCTGGAGTGATGATTTCTGATGTCTAACTAAGTTAGGTTATGGTATGTGTATGCTTGTTGTTTAGTTTCAGTCTCAGATTGTATATATCTATTGTTTTCAAAATGAACCCTATAATATATAGATGTAGGTATATGTCTACTGTTTCTTCCACGGGTTATTCTATTGCAAGTTCATGTTCCTTCTTAACTTCCAACTTGGCTTTTGTGCATAAATTACCTCAGTGAACATTATGTTCACAGATTTGATGTCTGTGCTAGTGAAAGAATTGGTTCTTTTTTTTCCTTGTTATCTATACAAATCAAACATAACCAGAAATTTGCGGTGTGATCTCTACCATTTCCTTCCCTTTGCAAAAGTAACTGAGGGCAGAATTACCTAAACAAGTTTAACCATCCAAGTTTACTCGAACTATCACCCAGATATGATTAATGATTATGATATTACGTTCTCAGATTAGTTTCCTGGTACAGACTAAGTTTCTCCAACTACTTATTGCAATATTAAATCAGCAAAAGGCAACTTAAAGAACCGATCACCATTAGATAACAAGAGGTTTAACTTGTAAGCAATGTCATCCTAGCATCTTAGGAGAAAAGCAGCTTTGCATATACATAAAATAAAAATAGATGTGAAGTAGATGAGGCAAGAGTCTTACAACAGCTAAAGACACCCATTGAACCTGTCTGAGAATTTTTTCTTGTCATCTTCAGCCAATCTCCATTGTTTGTGCTTCCGGGGTGGTAAAACTGAAAAAACATTTCGCCGCACTTTCATATAAAAAATAGGAAGAAATTTCCTGCAAATGGAGGAAAAGTATGTTAGATCATTGCCTCCCAACTACTGACGAACCTAGACAACCAAAAACCATCAAATACAAACCATAAGTTATTATGACAATAGTATGACTAACAACGTGAGGGAAGTCAGCAACTCAAGGTTCGTGTGGACTGATACTGGAGAACGGTGCATCAAAGAGGATACTACACTCAAATCATGTGGTGACCGTGCTCAGTAACTAATTGTAGGTTTGCATGTCAGGTGCTAAGCAAGGGTTTAGATTATCTTGAGCGTAAAGGTGGGAAATAAGCAAATTGATCATAGAGCATAAGAAAAAAAAATAAGGCAGACTGATGGCCCCCTTCCAGTTCTTTACATGACATGCTTAGTGGCATTCTGGTATATGCGCTACACACATAGGCAACAATTTGTGACTGCCCGGGCATCAGCAAATGCTGTATTTTGGTCCATTAATAGTGCCCTAGGTAGCTTTCTCCTCATGGTAAACTTGAAATTCTTAAATAACCACTTAGAAAATCATATGCTTTATTTGTATAGCAATGCAGCACAAAAGAGAACTTCCAGTTCATGATGAATCACACATATAAACAGAACACAAGATCTTCCATAATCTTTTACTTTATAGCTTGTGTCTAACATACTATAGCACTAAATAGTAGCAGTCAAGTATAGATAACTTAGATACTACAACCACCCAGAAAAAAGGTGGTTAATTGATCATCTTAATCCACCTATATATGGCATAAAATATGGATTTGTTACCCTTAGATTCTGCAAGTATTCCAATGTGGCTCCTGCATTTCCTGTCATTATATCCTCTGTGCACTCTGATCACAGATAATAGCCATTATGATGGTGGGTCTCTATGTGTTCTGCTACCAATTATTAGGCACGAGCAACAACAATATATTTCTGGTCATTATTTTGAAGAAAGGTTGCCAGAAAATTAGTTTTGCTCTAAATTATGAGTTTAAGGGTAAGATGGATTTCATAGTTGAATCAGGATTGAATAACTACTTATCAAAATGTACAAAAAAGAAATATTATTTACTCATATTTTCATGAAGAATTTGTACTTGTAATCTTTTGAAACATTGCAAACTGACGTACTCCCACTTGTATTGCATTGTCCTCAATTCTTGTACACCTGTAGTCGCAACTAGACACACATCTTCTTTCATTTGAGATAAGATTTAAAGTGTTAAGAGATACAAATAATTACAGTCGTATCATATTGGAGTTAAGCATACTGATCCACTCCAGTTTAACAGTGACCGGCCAACATTTCCAAATCGGCTAATAATGACTAGATGCTAACTGATAACTATTGCAGGATGAGATAGGTTTGTACTGTCCAAGGTTGAACTGAAGTGTAACAGGAGAAAAGTTTAAATTAACAATATATAGAAAGCAGCTTGTGAATACACACATACACCATGAATCTAATTCCGATCATAAAATTACTCCCTCCGATAATGAAAAATAAAAGAAAACCAAAACCGTCATCAGGGCTTGCTTCATACAAACCAATTTGACCTCCTTGCAACTAATGGACCGAATTTATTCATATGGTTTCTTTTCTACCGAAAGAATGGTTAGCGAACAAAAGTCTAAAGCTACAAACAAAAATCAATAGCAAATTTTCACAACTGTTGGCCGGTGAAATTGTCATAAGGGAGCCATTATGCACAACACTTTCTGAAACCCTTCTCTCTTGGATACCATTATGCAGAACACTTTCTGAAACCCTTCTCTCTTCATATTGATCTTCCCTACTTAATCTGTTATCAAACAGGAAATACAAACTAAATTTCAAATGAACCATCCATAATCTATCTTCTACCTTCAACTTATCTTCAACATTCAATCACCTACATTATCTAGGTTTTGCATCAAAATGTGCACACAACAATCTAGTGCTACTAACAAAAAGATCGACCAAATTTCAATCGCCAGCCGCGACTTGTATCAATCCTTCATTCTCAGATTCCAAATTTCTAGCAATAACACCTAACAACTATTATCCTAAACAACAAACCGACAGTTTCTACGATTTTTGTCGATTCTTCCTACTTATATCAATATGTTCGACATTTAATCACCCATGTTATCAGAGGATAGCAGACAAATTACACAACAAACCATAGCAAATCAAATACTCGAGCTCAGAAGTTGGAATTTTACCCTCAAAATTTCTCTCAAAACCCTAGCTTGATCGCCCTCGCGTCCTCCATTATCCCTTCTCCTTTTTTCGCTGTATTAAATTTATAGGAATTGGTTCGGTCGAGACTCGAGAGGATCCGATCGACGGCTCACTCTCCGATCGCAGTGATCCTCTCGCACTGCTTGATCGTCGACTTTGACTCGGGTGAAAATGAGAAAAAAAAGAGAATTTTTATTTTCTTGATTGGATTTGTTATTTATTTTTTTCCCCCAAGAAAAATGGACTCTGCTTAATGCTTCTACTTGATAGGGCCGGGGGGAGGGCTGGCCTGTTGAGTTGGTTGCTGGGAAAAAAATATTAAGATGGAATTAAAAATTGCACTTTTACAAATTGCTGTATTTTACAGCTAAAACTGGAAAAAAATACCTTTTAAAAAAAAAGAAACTATTTGCACATCAATCTATCGTTTTTTAAAATGTAATCCATTTTGTAGTTGTCGTTGGAAAATTCAGTTACAGCAAAACAAATAATTATAGCCATTACATATAGCATTATTTGGTTATTGTTTCACCTTAGAATATGTTATGTTTATTATATTTATCCTCCACATTAACCTGCTTCTTACTTACAGCTGCAGGTCATACATAAAACAAGGTGTATTTGTTCAAAGCAAAGTAACAAACACAATAAAATATGCACAGAATAAATAATAAAGGAAAACTGTAATCAGTTGGATTCATCAAGCATTATAGAATAACAGATACATGATAATGATACAAATTCAGAGTCTGTCTTAAATACAGAAGAGATCTCCAACATAGCCTTTCCCCTACAATACATCCAGTAAAATCTAGCCGCTCCTTCACTCAGCAGCATCCTGGCTGTAGCATTAAACCGAGAGAAATCACCACCATGATCAGTCTGAAGGGGTTAAAAGAACATTGATAACATAAAGCGAAGTGAGGGCAATGTTAATTACAATGCACCAATTTCATATATAAGACATCAAATTCAGTAACTTTGAAATTATATTGAGGGTTGGGGATTATAGTTATATGCTCTACTACATTTGTATTTATTTCCTTGTATCTCGAAACACCAATCCAATGACCTCTCAAAAGAAGTACAAGTACCTAAGGACTCTCTTCAAAACCACTGTAAACTGTCATTACTTCATAAATTTTAGAAAATATTTAGGGAAAACTGTGGCAATGCCTCAATATAAAGAGTAGCATGTGACCTAACTCTTCCACCTTTTTCCCATTGTGGATCAGACCAAAGAATATCACTTCATGTGATGTGGTTCTTTATTCTCTGCCAACTAAGCACATAGAGAGATAAACAAACATAAAACCAGAAAAAAACCTCATTTCCTCCTCTCTCTTCTCTCCAGATCTAACTCTCCATAGCTCCTCCTTCCTCCTCTCCTAACTCATCTCCTTCCTCCTCCTCCTCCTCTCTCTCTCTCTCTCTCCCTCCCTCCCTCCCTCCCTCCCTCACTTTTCTCTCAGACACAGACGTCCCCCTCCGCACCACCGACCTTGGGTGCACGCTCCGGCCATGTTGTTTGCTCCTTTTCTTCCGCTAAATTTCCTAATTCCCCCCGCTCTCTCTTCATTTTCCTCCCCAAAACCAAAAAAAGCTCTAATTTGACCGACAATGGCGAAACCCTCGAATTCGTTAGAGTTGTCGTCGAAGGATCTGTCAAACAATAGATCGGTGTCCTACACCGAAGGCGAAGAGGTGGAAAAGAACGAGGCAGAGGAGGCAATGCCGGAGGAGGACGAGGCCGTCGCAAGTTCCACAAGACCTTTAAACTATCGCTTTTTTAAATAAAATTTGTAATTTCTATTTGACCATCATGGAAAGATGAAAATTTAAAAAAATACCGGCTAAATGTGAATTTTTTGACAATTTTTGATGTTAAGTTCAAGTCCAAAGTAGAGTATTAAGTCTAATGAGTTAGAAGTAAAGTCCAAGGATTTGTATGTTAAGTCTGTTTGGTTGAATAATAAGTCCAAGTGTTTGTATGCTAAGTATATTGGGTTGAATAATAAGTTTAACTTGTTGAATGTTAAGTGTAATTGATTATATGTTAAGTCTAATTTATTAGATGTTGAGTGTAATTTATTACATGTTAGGTCTAATGCGTTGTATGTTAAATCTAATTGGCGTGATGTTAATTCTAATTGATTGAATGTTAAGTCTATAGAGTTGGAAGTGAAGTCCAAGGGTTTATATGTTAAGTCTATTGGGTTGAATAATAAGTCTAATTTGTTGAATGTTAAGTATAATAGATTATATGTTAAGTCTAATTGTTGAATATTAAGTATAATTTGTTATATATTAAGTCTAATGTGTTGTATGTTAAGTCTAATTGGCATGATGTTAATTCCAATTAGTTAAATGTTAAGTCTATAGAGTTGAATACAATCCATTAGACTTAACTTGACAATCTTCTGATTAGACTTAACATTCAACTTATTAGACTTGACATTCCTCTAATTAGAATTAATATTCAACAGATTAGACTTGACATTTCTCTCATTGGAATTAACATTGGACAATTTAGGCTTAATATTATTTTCATTATAAATAACATGCTTTTTATTAGATAAAAAATATTTTCTAATTAGGCTTAACATTTAACCGATTAGACTTAATATTCAACTCTATAGACTTAACATTCAACCAATGAGAACTAATATCATGCCAATTAGACTTAACATACAACGCATTAGACTTAACATATAACAAATTAGACTTAACATATAGTCAATTACACTTAACATTCAACAAATTAGACTTAACATATAGTCAATTATACTTAGTGTTCAAGAAATTAGACTTAATATATAGTCAATTACACTTAACATTTAACAAATTAGACTTATTATTCAACCCAATAGACTTAACATACAAGCCATTGGATTTCACTTTTAACTCTATAGACTTAACATTCAATCAATTAGAATTAACATCACACCAATTAGATTTAACATATAACGCATTAAACTTAGCATGTGACAAATTACACTTAACATTCAATAAATTAGACTTAACATATAATCCATTATGCTTAACATTCAACAAATTAGACTTATTATTCAACCTAATAGACTTAACGTACAAGTCATTGAACTTATTATTCAACCTAATAGACTTAACATACAAGTCCTTGGACTTTACTTCCAACTCATCAGACTCAATATTCCACCTTGGACTTAAACTTCACATCAAAAATTGTATGTTAAGTCTATTAGGCTAAATAATAAGTCTAATTTTTTAATATTATGTGTAATTTGTTATATGTTAAGTCTAATTTGAGTTAACATCGAATAGATTTAGACTTGACAACACACAAAATAGGCTTAACATACCACGCTTTAGACTTAACACGTAACGATTTGAAGTTAACAGACAAGAATTTGGACTTAACATAGAACGTTTTGGACTTAACATATAATGACTTGCAGTTAACATATTACAAATTAGAGTTAACATGCAACGCTTTGGACTTAACATGTAATAAATTGTAGTTAACATATTACAAATTAGAGTTAACATACAACGCTTTGGATTTAATATGTAACGACTTGCAGTTAACATACTATAAATTGAACATAACATAGAACGCTTTGGACTTAACATGTTCTCACTTGCAGTTAATATACTAGAAGTTAGACATAACATATAATCAATTACACGTAACATTCTACCTTTAGCTTATTATTCAACCCAAATGACTTAACATAAAAGCCATTGGACTTAAGTTGTAACTCATTAGACTTAACATCATAAATATTAAACTTCACATTAAAAAATCCGATAACTTACTTGGACTTGAACTTAATATCAAAATTTATTAAAAATCGCATTTAGTCGGTATTTCTTTAAATTTTCATCTTTTCACGATGTTTAAATAGTAATTACAAATTTCTGTAAAAAATCGATAGCTTAGAGGTCTTGTGGAACTTGTGACGGCCTCGAGCTCCTCCTCGTCCTCCTCCAGCATCGCCTCCTCCGCCACTTCTTCGCCTTCAGTGTCGCCTCCACTTCTTCACCTTTAGTGTCGGAGATTGATCTGTTGCTTGACGAATCCTCCGAAGAGAACTCTGATGAATTCGAAGGTTTCGCCATTGCCATTGGCTGGCAAATTTGGGGATTTTTTTATTTTGAGGGGAAAAGAAAGAGAGAGCGGGGGGAATAGGTAGGACAAAAAGAGCGAATAATATTAATTTTTTCTAAGTAATATTTACCCCCATATCAATAATATGATCAGAACGGGCACCTAAGTTCGGTGGTGACGGAGGGGATGTCAGTGTCTGAGAGAAAAAGAATGAAGAGGGAGAGGAGGAAGGAGATGGGTTAGGAGATAGTAGGAGAGGAGGAGCCATGACTATTAGATCTGGAGAGAGAAGAATCACTGCAGACTTAACTTACTGATGCATAAATCAAGATACAATCTGCAGAAGAGAGAAAGGGAGAGAGAATCCCCTACCTTGCCCTCAGCCCCAGATGCTAACATCCTTATCCGGCACCACAAGCTCGCCATTAACCAGCTCTCTGTAAGCAGCCACCGGCCAGATAAACCCCCTAAACAGCAGCCTGCTCGCCAGCGGCACGTCGATGATGATCTCCTTCTGCGTCGGCTTCTTCTCCCCCCGAATCGCGATCAAGTAACTCCTCCCGACCCACCCAATCCACCCGGCGATGTACAAGAACAGCAACCCCGGCGTAACAAACTCGCCCCAGTGGCGCTCTGATCGCGCTCACGCGATGCAAAATGCGGCAGCCCGTCGACACCGCAGAGGAGCGCCCGAAGTTGCCTAGTTCTCGAACGCTGCTGCGCTGGTCTTCTCCATCGTGGGCCTTGATGGCGAGGGCAGGGCGGAGTCGGGGGCGTAGAGCTTGAGGGAGGACTCGAGCTTTTTGAGGGACTGCTTCTCGCGCTTGCGAACTGTTTCGACTCTTTGCACGGGGTTAGGCCGGCGGAGGTCGGCGGCTGCGGGGGAGGGGCGAGGGTTGCCGAGGAGAGGAGGATTGAGGAGAGAGCGACGGCGGCTGAGAAGTTCTTGATGGCCCGACGATGGGTTTTGTTGGGGTGCTTTCATTGGAGCAGCAGGAGACGACGGGGCTTCGGCTTGGCGGGCTGTTGGAGGCGAGTTGGGGCTTGAGAGGGTTTGAGGGAGAGAGGAGAGGTGGCCATTTTTGGGTTTTTTTTTTTCGAGGGGGTTCTTGAAAATTTTTTTTTTTTTTTTTTTTTTGGTTGGGTTTGAGGTTGGAGGGAGGGAGGGAGACGAGTTTTGAGAGGGAGGGGAGATAAGGTGGGAGGGAAGGAGGGGATAAGGTGGGGATGGGAGGAGAGTGGGGATTGGAGGAGGGATTGTGGCTTTGGTGTGGTGATGAGATTTTGTTTTGAGAGTTCCTGGCTGTGGTGGGGGGAGGGTTGGATGCTTTGCTCATGGGGCTTGTGGATTTATGGGATCTTATGTTATTGGATTTTAAAATATTTTCTGAAAATATAATTAGTTAGTAGTATTTTACAGTGGGTTAAGCTAGGGACTTGGATTATAATCTATTGGGTATTAAATATAAAACACCCTTTAAATTGGACGATTACCGGATAACTCTCCGTAACTTTAAAAATATGAGAAACCCCCCTTAAGTTTAGAGGCTACCAAGAATCCTCTTTTAACTTTGATATTTTATAAGAAAACCCGTGGGGGAAAACGTGCTTTTAAGGGGGTTTTCTCCTCCTTCCTTTTTTTTGTTTTTTGTTTTTGTGTGGGGGGAGGGGAGATTTGATATTTAGCCCAAATTATTCATGGATTATAATCCAAAGTGTTATGTAAATTTAAAGAATTAGAAATTTTTTTCTTTCAAATTTTACATGTTTGGCAAATAAGTATACCATGATCTACCATTGTTGTTAAAATGATCAACAAGGGTTAGGTGGCGGGTGAGTTAATTGGGCTTATGAATATGTGAAATCGTGAGGGGAATAGTTGTCTTTTACTTATTCAACTTTCAAAAAATGTTTGTAATTATTAAAATAAATCATATGTAATAGGTAATAATTTAATTCTTCAATTTGATAACCGAGTTAACTATGTTAATCATTCTCCTTGATCATTACTCATTAAACTTTTGCCAAACATTAGCCTAGGTGAGCAGGGAAATAGCCCTACTGTAGTCTTTTCTTCTTTATCAGAGAAAGTAGGTTTGTGACCATTGCTTCTAATCAGTAATCATATATTATTTAATTGATGATTGTATTTTATTTTCAATTAAAAGGATGAAATTGGACGATGATAAATTTTGTAATACATTGAAATGTGTGCTGATCAATAGATTGTCATGATTAGAAATGCTGGTCTTTGAATACCTTTTTGGTAAATAACTAGTATGCAATACGTGCGTTGCACGTGATGCACAGTAAAAAACTACAATAGTTTAAATTTTTAATATGTCGGAATAAAAATGCAAGAATAAGTGACTTGTAACAGATATTTACCAACAAAAAACCAGAAGCCAGATCAAAGTTAGTTTATTATAAATTATCAAGTCATTAATATATCATTTAGCATTAAAATGTTGAATTGCTGCCTTTAAGAAACAAATTTCACTGATGATTACACCAAATCTTATGTATTGCAGTCGCTCAAGAATAACAAGATGAAGGCACCATATCAAACTAAAGAAAGCATAGAAAGTTATTAGATGATCAAGACATCTACAGCAATTGAAGAAAAGAGCAAATTACCAGAAAACTTTCATTATTAATATCCTCGACATAATAGTTTAAATAAACATAATTAAGCGTATTCATCATAGTGCTATAAATGATGTATCACTTCTCACTTTCTATTTTAATATTTTTATTATTCATGAACTTTCTTTTGTTCATATCTTTTTTCAGGCTTGTCATACTCTTTCGCTTTAGTGAAATGTCCTTTGAATCTTCATCTTCATCACATTCTATTCGTTCGAGGTTATTTGGGCTGCATATTTCTTGAGCGGTTATTCTTCCTTCCATTCTTTTCTCTTCATCTTTCCTGTTCATTTTTTACCAAGAAAAGATATTCTTTGTCGCAACAGCTCATCATTTTCTGGTACATAGGTGATAAGTGCTCCTGCATATATTTATGGTCATTTTTTCTATTTTACTAATTTACTAATTTTATGGAAAAAAGATTTTATATATTTGAAATAAATAATGTTATATTACCTTTCCTTCTTCATCAAATGAATCTACATATTCTTCAGCTGAACAACCAGTTAGATGCCGAGCTTCATCGAAAAGTGTAACATATGCCTTGTCGATATGATCTTTAACTTCCAATCGCATAAGGTACCTTGATGTGGAAATTTAATGTTATTTTTATTTTTTTAATAAATAAAATTTAAAACTTACTTTATTTCCCATTCTGCATCTTCAGTATTGCAATTGTTGCAGTTAGCTATGTTGTCTTCAACAAAAACCTTTCTTTGACAACTCTGCATCTTCAGTATTGCAATTGTTGCAGTTAGCTATGTTGTCTTCAACAAAAACCTTTCTTTGACAACTCTTGCATGCGGTGTAACAAGGTGATTCTGGATTGATTATTGCTGATATCTCCGCTTTAAAGTAGGAATACATATTCTAAAAAATAGCAATCAAGTTATAAATTCAAAATTTATTATTATTTACCTTGTTAATATCTTAACCAATATAATAAAATACCTGTTTTGTAGCTGTTGATGATGTGATGATATCTCCAAGCATAACCTTCTTAGACCTTCTCATTAGCTTCGATGGTGTCTGCTGCATCAGTTTCTCATAATTTTTCTCCTTCCCTGTCATCCTATATTTAAGACATGTATTATTTTTTCAAAATTACATTAGGAAGAAATTTATTTTCATACACATTACCATTCTTTAAGAGTGTGTGCTTCAGTAATGTTTGGGTCTATCAAAAATATTGTTGCAGGCTTTGATGATAGTTGCGGAACTCCTGTATTCATTATATGATTACTTTTTTTGTTATATAAAATTTTTAAAATAATTAAATTGAAAAGTCTTACCCATATATCTATTTGCAGTAACATTAATTATTGCTATAATTGGTTTTTGCTTTTTCTTGTCTTCGAATACTTGACCTTCTTTCTCTGCATGCTCTCCCCATAATGTTAATATTAATGGATCCATCCTGTGTCAATTAAAAAAAAATTGTTAAATGGATATGTTAGTATTTTAAATATTGTTATTGAAAAATTATTTCTTATTTAAAAACACTTACTCTTCATTCATTATTGTGATCTCCCTTCTAACTGATGTATTTATTGTGTACAACGGTCTCACTGAAGTGATGAATCCTAACATATCTGTATAAAGATTAAAATTTTAGTGCTTAAAATTTTAATTTTGTATTACAAATGCTATGTTATTAAGATTAAAAATTTAGCATACCGAAAAATATATTTTCATTATTTGTCTTTGTCACATCTTCGAATCGCTTGAATGAAAATGGTAAGGTACCGATATTGATTTCATTTTCGGATACTGTAATTTTTGTGTTTTGTCCAAAAGCAAGCTCAAAATTCGGATTCACCGATGCATATTTCCTATTTATAGGCCTGACTATACCATTCTTGATGATGATGGCATTGTTGAGATGGATGTATTCCTCAAATATTGCTATTGTAGCATTGAATAGTGTGGCTTGAATCTTTGTTCCCTGTATTTATTTGTTGTTACTTAAACTTTAAAATAAATTACCATTTAAGTAAAAATTTAATGAAAATCAAATGTAATAATAAATATTTCATTTGAAGAGTTGTACTTACCTCTTCGTCAATCACAATAATCTTTTGAACCTGACCTGAACCTTTTGACGATGAGAATTGCTCCAAGGACACTTTTAGTATAAGCACTTTGATTGAGAAAGATTCTTGATATAACTTCAAATCCTTAATAAAGTTGTATTCATCTTTACGTTGTCTTTCAGCAGTCATCTTCCCTGTAACAATAGTAAATATTAGAAATATCAAATAAAGTAATTTTTACAAATTTTAATAATGATATTTATTTTTTTCACCATCTTCTTATTGTAATATTTATTGCTATAAAATAAGTAAATTTAATTTTGATATTTTTGTTATTGACATTTATTTAAAATAAATAAGTTAGTCATTTAAATGTTTTTTCTAACCTTTCTCTGGATAGAACTTCTTTGTAGACAATATTTTTGGTGTATGTATATCCTTTCTTTTGTTTTCTTTCGCCTTTAACCAGCACTCTCGTATTGTTTGTTGATACACCACGAGATAAAGCGACGTATAATTGTCCATGTGAAAAAATATGGTGTGGTAAATAAATACCCACTGTACGAATTGTTTGTCCCTGTGCTTTGTTTATTGTCATTGCGAAGCATAATCTTATAGGAAATTGTTTTCATTGAAATTTGAAAGGGTAATTTTCATTTTCAGCTGATGATAATGGTATCCTTGGAATCATGACTTCTTGACCCACATGATGACTTTTTGTTATTTCTGCTTTAATAATATTTTTATCAAATTCTTTACAAACCATTCTAGTTCCATTGCAAAGTCCATTTGATGGGTCAAGATTTCTAAGCAACATTATCGGGCAATTCTGCTTCAGCTTTAGCTTGTGCGGTGGAAGACCATTAGGCATCAACTTGTTTAAAAATTCTTCTTGGTAGTAGTTATTTGGATCATCAATAGCCTTGTCAAAACTATGGAAAATAATCTCATCACCAGGAAATTTATCCAAAAGCTTGTCATTGAGCTCATCTACATATTCATTTTTTGTCGCAAGAATAGCTCGTTCTGTCATATATTCAGCTGAATTTGCATTTTGTTTAATTGATGGAAATACTTGGTTTAACAATTCAACTTCCGATTGTCCATTTTTGCTATCTTCAATCACAATACTTTCAGGAAGTCTAATAGTTCATCTTTAGTTGTTTTTTCTGTTCCATTTCCGACACGCAGCAAGAATTTACTGAATTCTTCATCATTTTTTGCTCGCATGTTTATTTTTAATGTTATCTTTTCCATCTTCTCCCACAAATAAGACTTTACTAAGCTGGCATTAACTGTTTGGCTCCTTGTTCCTCTTGGAATAACTGGCAACACTTGACGAAAATCTCCTCCAAAAACTACTACTTTATCACCAAACAATTCTTTTGTACTCAATAGGTCTTGCATTGTACGATCTACACTTTCAATTGCTACTCTTTTTGCCATAGGTGCTTCATCCCAAATAATTAGTGCTGCTTTTCTAATCAAATGTGCAGTACCTTCTTGTTTAGATATATTGCAAACTGTTGTCTCAGTGGCATTAATAGGTATCTTAAAACGTGAATGTGATGTGCGCCCACCAGGTAGTAAAGATGCTGCTACTCCTGAAGTTGCAGTTCCTATTGCAATCATTCCTTTTGATCTGACATTGGCAAGTATAGTTTTGTACAAGAATGTTTTTCCCGTCCCTCCAGGACCATCTATGAAAAAAACTCCTCCCTTATTCATATTAACTCTGTCCATTATTATTTCAAAAGCTTTTCTTTGATCTTCGTTTAATTTGTACTTCCCATCTATATCTTCCTGACAGACTTCAACATCTATCTCATCATGTATGATTCGTAGATTGCATGATGGATTATCTATTTCATCCTCTTTAAATTTAGGTAAATCAAAATCTTGTATTGTCTTCCCCATGCTCTCTAGGAAATAATTAACTCCCTCTAATGCCCATGCAGTTTGTTCTACATCTGTCGCTATAGATCTTTGAACGAAATCTTCAGACATTGCTGGTCTATATCTCTCCCATAATAATCTGACATTTGTTGGTTGACAATAAACCAGAATAGTTGTAAATAATCTTCTTAATGCATATGGCATCTTGAAATTTACTGCTTCATCCAAGCATTCGACTAAACTATCGTCGGATTCTAAGAGTCCTCTTTTCTGTGCAGACTCTTTAAAAGTCTTCACAAATAATCCATCAACAGTGAGTAAGTCATCCCAAGAAGTAGGACCTTTAACATGATTCAATAAAAGCCTCAAATAATATCTCTCCCCTTGTAGGCTGTCTGAAAATCACAATAGATAGCTTATCCCCCATCAAACACCGATGATGGAAGTTACAATCTGACGACTTCCAGAAGGCTATAATTTGAGGACCTTCACGACAACTGATGAAAGCTCCAATTCAACAGCCTTCATAATCAACATCGGGAGTTACAATCTGACGACTCTCATATTCTCAAGGAGCCAAGACGAAGATTACAAGACAATGATCTTTGCAACGCAATGACAAAGGCAAGACGCGGAGGTCCTCTTCATATAGAATGGCAGATATCTTCTTTTATGCGAAACGGATGCCGAAGCCGAACCGAAGCCTTCGCGCTCTGGTGTCGTGATGTTGTATTTCGCCTTTCGTCTCGTCGATGTTCATGCCGTTTTCATTATTTAATTCGTTCTAATTCGACTTACTAGAGCTTTGAAAGTCTACTGATTCGCCCAGCAAATTGTGTTCTGAGGTCCGCTTGCAAGACTGAGCATTTCATCAGAACATTAGGATTAGCCTGTAAGCCGCCAAGGCCGCCTAAGGTTGCCTCTGCATTACTCCCAAAGCGGCACCTATGCTTCAACTCGTGCGTTTTCAACATCCAAACCGCGTAGTTTTATTAGTTAATCTCTAAAACAGCACAACTGTTTGGCTGCCCTTGTAAACAGGGCTCACTCTGCGTTGTCAGGTCTTAGAAACGCCCAGCGTTAATCTTTAAAACAGCCATTACACTGTGCCGTTTTCAGGCCTTTTCTTAAACAGGCATCTCCAAGCTCTGCTTTTCAGTCTAGAACACGCAGAGTTAATCTCTAAAACAGGCACAATCTGTTGGCGTTTTCAGCCTTTAAATAGCGACCCAAACTCTGCCGTTAGTTAGCCCTCTTGCGTTTTTTAGCTAAAACGCCCAGAGCTCTTCATCTCTAAAACGCATGCGCCTGTGCGTTTTCCGACTCCCAGCGGAGGCCCAACTCTGCTCTCATTTTTAAGACGCCAGATGGTAAGTCCGAACGCAACCGGCCTTGCGATTTTTACTCCCAACAGCGCCCAAAGCTTCTGCGATCCATCAAAAGACGCCAGAGTTTAAGGCCCAGAACGCTGGTTTTCAGCGTTTGTTTGGTACTCGCTTCAAAGCACTACGAGACACCGTTCCAATACCGGTTTCCCCCTATTTAAGGGCAGCTGTTTAAAAGGGGTGCTGTTCACCCCATCTCAGCCCATGGATGCGAGCCAATTACAGGGGACAGTTACCACCGTAACCCCCTATAAAATATCAGAAAAACTCAACTTGCTTCGCGGCGCTTTTGGCTTGGACTCCTCCGGAATCTCTTCTTCTTTGCGGCCGAGCAAGGGGGAGATGGACGTTCATCGATCAGCCAACGATCGGACCACAGGTAGCATTCCTGGCCTTAATAACGACTTCCCGGGTTCAAATACTCTTTTCAAGATGTTCAACTCGTCAGAGTTATCAACTCGTCAGAGTTCAAAACTTGCTACTGTCAAGTTCTTCTAAAAACTCGTCGAGTTATCAACCGATCAGAGTTCAAACTTGCCCTGCAAGTTCATTTCTAAAACTCGCATTCAGATTTAACAACTCGTTAAGAGTTATTTTCAAACTGCCACGCAAGTTTCTCCACAGCGTCAATATCGTGAAGAAGAAGACATCGTCTCCAGGAATCAGACGGTTCGGTAATCGTCAACGGAGAGCCAAGTTTCGGACGCCCAACTCAATCGAAGGGAAGCACTCCATCGCTACCATGAAGAACCCAGTTTTAAACAAAGGGGAGAATCAAATTCATTCTCCTCTCTTTTGTAATCGGAATCCAAATTGTAATTGATTTTGAGAGGAATACAAGTCAAATTTTTCTTTCATTGTCTTTTTACTGCAAATTTCCTACAAACAAAAGAAATAATGAAAGAAAAATTTAATTTGTATTCCTCTCAAAATCAATTACAATTTGGATTCCGATTACAAAAGAGAGGAGAATGAATTTGATTCTCCCATTTGTTTAAAACTGGGTTCTTCTTGGTAGCGGTGGAGTGCTTCCTTCGATTGATTGCGTCGAACTTGCTCTCCGTTGACGATCCGACCGTCCTGATTCACTGGAACGATGTCTTCTCCTCACGATTTGACGCTGTGGAGAACTTGCGTGGCAAGTTTGAAAATAACTCTTAACGAGTTGTTAACTCTGAACGAGTTTTTAGAAGAACTTGCAGGGCAAGTTTTGAACTCTGATCGAGTTGATAACTCTGACGAGTTTGAACTCTTGAAAAAGAGTTGATTTGAACCGAAAGTCGGTTATAAGCCAAGGGAATGCTCCTGTGGTCGATCGTTGCTGAGGATGAACGTCAATCTCCCCCTTGCTGCCCAAAAAGAAGGATTCCAGAGTCCAGAGCCAAAAGCCCCGAACTCAGTTGAGTTTCTGATATTTATAGGGGGTTACGGGTGGTAACTGTCCCCTTAATTTGCTCCTCCATGGGCTGAGTGGGGTGTAACCACCCCCTTTTAAACAGCTCCCTAAATAGTGGGGAAAACGGTTTTGAAACCGTTCTGTTAGTGCTTTGAACGAGTCAAAACGCTGAAAACAGCGTTCTGGGCCTTAACTCTGCGTCTTATTGATGAGACGCAGAGTTGGGCGCTTGTTGGGAGTTAAAAACGCAAGGGCCGCTTGCGTTCGGACCTTAACTCTGCGTCTTAAAGATGAGACGCAGAGTTGGGCGCTCGCTGGGAGTCGAAACGCACAGGCCGCATGCGTTTTAGAGATGAACTCTGCGTTTTAGGCTAAAAACGCAGAGTTGCTAAAACGCAGAGTTGGGCCTGTTTAAAGGCTGAAAACGCACAGTTGTGCTGTTTTAGAGATTAACTCTGCGTTTCTAGACTGAAAACGCAGAGTTGAGCCTGTTTAAAGGCTGAAAACGCACAGTTATGCTGTTTTAGAGATTAACTCTGCGTTTCTAGACTGAAAACGCAGAGTTGAGCCTGTTTAAAGGCTGAAAACGCACAGTTGTGCTGTTTTAGAGATTAACTCTGCGTTTTGATGTTGAAAACGCAGAGTTGAGCATGTGCGCTTTGACCCTGTAATGCAGAGGCGAACCTTAGGCGGGCTTGGCGGGCTTCAGGCTAAGTCTAATGTTCTGATGAAGTCCAGTCTTGCAGACGGACCTCAGAACATAATTTGCTGCGAAGAACAGGTCATAACTTTCAAACTGTAAGTCGGAATTAGACGAATTATATATGAAAATCGGCTATATCGACGAGACGGGGCCATCCGAACCGAGCCGAAGGCTTCGGTTCGCTTCCTCCGTTTCGCCAAATTCCTTACGGTTTGAGAGATATCTGCATTCTAATATGAAGAGACCGTCAATTTGTAGTCTCTTTTGCTAGAGCTTTGCACAGATCGTCCTCTTGTAATCTTCGTCTTGGCTCCTTGAAAATATGAGAGTCGTCAGATTGTAACTCCCGATGTTGATTGTGAAGGCTGTTGAATTGGAGCTTTCATTAGTTGTCGTGAAGGTCCTCAAATTGTAGCCTTCTGGAAGTCGTCGGATTGTAACTTCCATCATCGGTGTTTGATGGGGGATAAGCTATCTATTGTGATTTTCAGACAGCCTACACCCCCTCTATAGGATTTGCTGAATTTATTCGTCCAATCACGGCCTTTTTTCCTCTCATTCCAACATTTCTTTCCTATTACCCACACATAATGTTCAGGAAATTCTTTGTACAGCAACATCCTTGCTTTTTGATCTGAAGCATATTTTCTAAAGAATTCTGTAAGCATTGTCTTAGCTGTGTGCTCCCACGTCATAATATTTCAAAGATCTTCATTATTCCAATAATAAACATTTTGCTTATTTGGAAGATGTAATTGGAGGTTAACAACAGGGGGTTGCATATCATTCATCTTAAATTCAACAATCCGCCAAATTGCTTCTTGTGCTGATACTCATCTCGCATCTTGGTATTGTTTGATCTCATCTACTGGATGTGTTGCCTCATTTGACGTTATGCACACAGCTGCTTTGTCATGCCCTTTGTATATATATTTATAAAGATATTTTACAGCCTTAAGTCCAGAGCATACTTCAACATTGACATGACAATTATACCTACTTAATAGGTAAGGATTGTATGGAACAATCCATTGATTGTCTAAAATTGTGTTACGTACAAAAATTTTCTTTCCATCATTCCTTCGCATATATATTGGATAACCATCACCCCCTAAACTTGTCTTTGAACAAAAAGGACGTGGGTAGTGATATTTACATTTTCCGTCAACCATGCATGGACTTGTTTTCCTCAACGATCCATAAGGACCATGAACCATATGTTTTACTACCTTTGCATGCAACATTGGAAATAGTGATTGATCTGGTAATTATGTTGATATAAATTTATCAAAATGATCTGGGCTCATTAGCTTATATTCATGTTTCAAAATTAATAATATATGAGCATGTGGAAGTCCCCTTTTCTGAAATTCAATGACATAGACACGTGCATCTACTTTACCAAATACTTCTTTCTTAAATAGCTGGTCTTTAAGATCCTTTATTTTCCCTCTAAAAACTCTAGAAGAAAGATCTGGTCTATCCTGTGCTGTTTGTCCATTTAGAAGCTCATTCCTTATTTCATCCCAATCTGGATTACATGTTATTGTAATGAAGAGATCTGGTTTACCGTATCTTTGAACAAGAGCCATAGCGTCCATATAACAACGCCTCATATCTCTTGGTCCTCCAATGAAAGATGGTGGTAAAACAACTCTATGTCCAACTTGGTCTCCACGTGTTTCCCCAGCAGTAATACTATCAACAATTCCTTGATACAATTCTGCTCTTATATTCGATTGTTGTTTTCTAAAGAAATCAAGTCGTGTTGTCTCTAACTTCACATACATGTCCACAGCAAACTGTTGAAATAGTCGTCCAGCAAGTAGCAGAATTGATTTTATTGGATTCCGAATTTGAAGCTTGTAGCAATAATACTCCCTACAAGAAACATATTGCCCTCCTTGTCTTTCGATATCTGTTATAAGCTTAAAAAATTTTAGAAATTGATAAGATATGATATATTTTACTTATGAGATTAAAATTTGGCGTTGGTTTTACCTTGTTTGATAAGATATGATATATTTTACTTATGAGATTAAAATTTGGCGTTGGTTTTACCTTGTGATTCCTCCTCATTAAGCTGTCTAGCTAAATCCAATGTGGCGTTGGTTTTACCTTGTGATTCCTCCTCATTAAGCTGTCTAGCTAAATCCAATGTCTGACTTTCTTCGATCATATTTAATTGTATTCTTTCGTTCCGACCTCTGTAGATAAACTGCTGCCACCCACTCTCACCATTTGGAAATAAAATCGGATATTGTAGAGGATCATAACAACTATAATAATGTTTGACTTGATGCTTTTGTCCAGAGTGCTCTTGTATTATAATCTCTCTATTTAACGGTTCATTTGGATTGTATCCTTCTATCCAAATTGCTGCCACTTGCTCTGCTGTTGGAGAGTTATAAATCCTTTGATCAAGATTGGTGTTCTTAGATATACAGATTTGTAATTCTCTCAACGTTGGTACATCTTTAAGCCTCCGTAGAATTTTCGCATAAGGATTGTCTTCTAGGATTTTCATTATAGTCTTCATTGTATTTTCTGATAATTTCCCTTCTTGTAAAACATTCATCCTATTTTGCAATTCATTATCTGTGTCATAAAAATATAACTGGAAGAAGCGAGGTCTATCATTTTGTGGTATCAATCCAGGCAAACTATGGTAAATCTGACCTTGCGCTCTAAAAGTGTATATTCCATCCCTTGACGATGCCAAGTTTTTATCAAGTGCTACCCCAAATGAGGTGAATGAGAAAACACTATTGTATGCTCTAATGTTTCTCCTAAACTCAACACCCTCATTACAATCCGATGTTAGCAAGTTATATAATTCATCTGGGATACAAGGTTCCACAAGTACTGTTTCTCCATTATTACAGCAAAAAGATGGGCTCTCATATTCAAATTTCATTGCTCCACAATGGATGCAACTTGCTATCTTTCCAAGCTTGTGTAGTTCTGAACAAGACGGCCTTGATATATTTGTTCCTATATGATTGTAATATGTTATTAGTTAATTTTATTTATTGTAGAAACTTAAATTATTATATTTATAAACTTATTAAAACTCACCATTGCATTCAACTTGGTAATTGGATGCTCGTTCTAGCCAACGTGCACTTCTTTTCATTGATTGGGATGCTCGTTCTAGCCAACGTGCACTTCTTTTCATTGATTGATCTTCTGCATTTGGACTACTATCCATAGTCCTCTTTATTCTCTTATTTCGACACATCCTTCTAATATAAGCTTCTCTTTCCTTAGTAGTTAACGCATTGTAGTAATTTTTCCTCTTCATTTTCTTTGATGCTGTTGATAAATTTATATGAATATATTAGAATTATTTGTTATTGATTATCTGGAGGATGCATTAGAAAAATTAAATTTGTTTGACTAACCTTCATTTGGTTCCATTTGTTTTTCCAATTGTTTTTCACGCAAACTTGTGAGAATATTATTTGAACTGCAAAAGAATTGAGCATTAATTTATTTTTCATATTAATCTAGTACATACATATAATAAACTTAAATTTTAAATTTTAAATTTTAAATGTTTTGAATTCATTTATTATGTGTGAAATTTCATAATGTAGTTAAATTCAATTAGTTAACATAGTAATTGCACACTAATAAAACTAATGTTATAATTAATATACGAATAATATAAAGCATTACTTTTGAAAAGGAAATGTACCTTGTTTTCCTTGCTGTAATTGTTGTTTGATCTTAATCTTGCATTCTGACAAAAATATCAAAAATAAAAAGTTAGTACAACCATATATGAAAATAAATTTCTTTGGTTTAATTATTATTACGAGGCATATTGTTGTTAGGCGTCAAATATCTTGTAGTCCATTATCCCATACTTTATTAATATCTGCTGAATCTTAAATGTTGTGTAATTTTGATTATTAAAAAGTCAACCATGGAAGCATATCAGAAACTAAATCCTACCCTCGGTTGTGGAAACCCGTAGGAAATGGTAGTTTGTATGGCGAATGATGTCAACAATGACTGATAAACAGCCATTTATTTAACATTAATTTACAAAGTTTTAATATGATACTCAATGTTGGTTTTAATAATCAAACATAAGGGATGGATAGTATCATACAATAACATGTTTCACTTGAATAAAATAATCAAGTAAGATGAATTGATAAGCTGCTTTATTGTCATATGATCTTGGGCTAGGAATAAAATATTCCACTTGAATAAAATAATTAATTAAAGTGAAAAGGATGAGCTGCGCCTTAAGTAAGTAACATCAACATAAATATGAAAGTATGAATTAATGAAGATATGGAAATATATAGGTTTTCTGCTTTGATGATATCTGGTGAAGCTGTTGCAAGTATAAACTATATAAAGTATTATTTTTGTAAAGAAAATGTACCTTATTTTCCTTGTAGTTGTTGGTTGTTTTTAATCTTTAGACCTAGCTTTATATATATATACCTAGATTAAAAAAAAGAAAATTAAAAGTTAGTAGTATATTTTATGCATTTGTTCAAGGTATCAAGTGTTCAATTTTATATTGAAGACCTACAAAAGGTCATAACATTTCATCCTTATAGAAACCTTGTGAAGCTCTAAAGATGAACTAATAACTTTGAAAACCATATCTTATCATAAACGTAATCATAAATCATAAATGGCTAAAATTGAAGTATCATTAATACTTCACACAAATCCATATCATTCATAAAAATTGAAGTATCATTAATACTTCACACAAATCCATATCATTCATAAACCTGATGGTAAAGAAATATAAAGAGGTAAACATAAGTTTTTACTTCACACAAATCCATATCATTCATAAACCTGATGGTAAAGAAATATAAAGAGGTAAACATAAGTTTTTCACATAACTTAAGCTAATTAAAACAACTAAAATTTATAAAATTTTCCAACAACATGGTTCACAAACTCATAGACCTTGATTTATTTTATTGACTTGACATTTATTTTTCTAATACTTGTCTCAACTCATTTTTTCTTCTCCTGACAAAATTTCCATATAGCTGCTAGAATTTCCATAGCTTTAGCAAACAATTTATCTGCTTCTTCTTCATCTTTGATTTTAACAGCAAAAGGGACATTAACTTCAGGAGTAGCAGGAGCATCTTCGCTAGGTGCATAATCAGTATCTGAATTTTCAACCTTCACTCTTTTGTTAACTTCAAAAGAACTCTCCTCCTCATCATCATCATCATAATACTTCTCAATGGAAGGTTCTTCTTCATAATCATTTGATGAAATTTCTATAATCATCATCATCATCATAATACTTCTCAATGGAAGGTTCTTCTTCATAATCATTTGATGAAATTTCTATAATTTCCTTGTCATTAACAAACTTTTAATCATTTGATGAAATTTCTATAATTTCCTTGTCATTAACAAACTTTTTAAATTCATATTGTTTAGGAATTGATTTCCGGGCAGTACGTTTTAACAACATCTGTTATGAAACCGTGAAAGGAATTATTAATATAACTATAATATAAGTCTTGACATTATAGAGATCATATTGGCTGCAACAAACACTATAATAACATGATAAAGCAAGGAAGTATTGAAATAAAACAAATAAGTATAAATGTTCAAGCTAGAACTTTTGCAGTTTAAAACAATGAAACACAATAGATCGAAGATGATTCTGAATGGGATGTAATAGACTCTGTGATTGTGCAAGTTCAATGTGTTAAGTAGAAGTTGAACATATTTTGGTTAGTTAAAGAAGATATGTGGAACTTGTGTTTATGTAGTAAAGAATGTGGCTCATTGGACATGAGAGGATACCATGGCACTGGAAAATAATTGACCTTTTCCACACAGGCAACAACTGCAATTTTTTCCTAATCTAACATAATAATATACTGTAAAATATACTGTATTAATACAAAGTTGGATAATTACGTAACCTAACATAATAAGATATGTGAAAATATTATATAATTAATATTACTGATACCAGTTAACTCATAAACAACTATATATTATAACTGCTTATATATGAACAGATATAAATATTTGTACTGATATGAGTGAATATGATGCAACTTTCACGTAATATACAACTACTGACAGATGTAAGATATACATTAAAACTATATCTAATAACATGTGTAGATATGCCACTTATTTTCATTCTACAATCTGACTTTATTATAGTACATGAATACATAATGTTGTGCTACCTACACTTAATTATTCTAACATCTTAGCATTTACATTAACTATGTAATTCACTTTGACATAAGCATATGTTATAGCAAAACTTGGTTTATGAGCAAAACTTGGTAATGGACCTGAAGATATCATGTTCATGAATTTAGCAAAACTTTGTTTATGAGCATAAATATAACTAATGATTGATTTTTCTATCTGTTCGCTAGTATTTGCATATGTGGTTCATTGAAGCTATTTTTTCGCATTCATAAAACATACAAACAAATATTATGTCAACAGGTAAACAAATATAATTAAAACAGTAACTTCATATATCATATATCCCAAAAACCCCTTATTGTCATTTGCTAAATAATGATTTCACAAATTAAAAAAATAAATGTCATTCAATGTGTATCTGCAGCAGATACACACAGTAGTGTGTGTATCTGCTGCAGATACTCTGCAGCGGATACACACGTTGCAGATACACACAATACTGTGTGTATCTGCTGCAGACAGATACACAGTACTGTGTGTATATACTTTACATTTCCTCCAAACATACAAATAAAAGTATAATTTTGATGTTATTTGTTTTCGGATTGAATTATCTAAATTTTGTTCACTATTTTTGTTTGAGAAGTTAGATTCAATTTAACAAATATTCCAAATAATTGTGCTGCTGGTCTGCCATCCCTTCGGGTAACTTGTTTTGCCCAGAGACCAGCAGTGTTTTGTGTCAGAATGCAATGCAACGGGTAATGAATTAGTCTATTTTATCTACATAATAAAAATATTTTCCGAATCTTTATAAATTTAGGGGTTTTTTTTTGGGGCAATACAAAGAATTATTATGGGAAATAGAGACTGAAATAAGTACCTTTGTATTACCATGTTGTCAAAGGCTAAATGCAGGAAATCTCTTTTAACATGACACCAATCTAAAATTTACACTAATGAGAAAATTATGTTTCAGGTGCTTCAGTAATAAAACTTTTTTAATTTATCCATTGCTTTCGGTAACATCCTTCGATCGTTATAAAATTCTTTAGAACCATATCGTACAACTTTTCTTTCAGTTACAGAGGGGGAAGAAAATCTACAATGTCTTCTGTGATTCTATTTCGATTGACGGAAAATTACCCATTATTAACACTACTATTAAATGCACTTTTAATGATCATGGCACATTGATATGCATGTATGGAACACATATCTGATATTAACAATTTACTTAAATAGAATAGATTATATTAAATATAAGATGAATGTATATGTGAAATCTGAATACTACTACACTGTTGCAAATTACCTATAAATTCTGTTGAAATGTCAAATAATACATGATATAAGTGTCTCAAATAATACATGATATAAGTGTGTTAACATATCTGATATTAAAATTAATCATTATTTTGAATGCTTTCATATTGTAATAAATTGTGTCACTACATATATATTATTCAAGGTATTTTCAGACACATTATAGGTTTATGTATAGTATAACACGTACTAATATATCATACAGATAAGCAACTCAATAACATAAGGAAGCTTAGTTATAGAAGATTATAATGTATTAGATATTTTGAAGATATTAGTTCTGTACTATTACTAAAACTCAGCCTCATGCCTTTCCTAAAAAGTTTTGAGTAGTTTGTGATTATCAAGCTTCTCTAAGTCATTTTCCAAGTGTCTACAGATTATTATGCAGTAATTTTTAAACAGCTATTGGCATTTTACATGAAAGTAAAGAAGCATCAAACTCTAATATGCGCAATGCTTATAAAAGAGTAATCCAAACAGAAAGTCACAAAGCATCGGGAAGTTACAAAGTGAACGGTAAGAGTTGAATGTGAGGAGCACATATCCACGAGGAATCATGTCAGATATGTTCTAGACATGGAATCACCATAGAAGTTTTTGTTCCGTACAGGTACTCAAATTATCAGATATCAAAGAAGCATCCTCATGATGCAAAACTCGTCTAGCTTAGTTTTTCCAGGTAAATTGCAGATAACCCCTTCACCTATAACTTCAGCAGTGCTTAACTACTCACTTATCAACTTTTTTATTAGCATTAATCACCCTTGGATTGACATGTTGAGAGGGATAAATTGCAGAGAACTCCCTCTTCCTCATAAATTGATGGGTCATAACTCTAATAAATGAGTTGAAGGTGATAGGTTTACTGAAGGTATGAGCTTGGTTGTCTACAATGTACCCAATTTTTTAACAAGATTGAAGACTATTTCAACCTTCATTGATGAATTACCTCACCCCGGACAATCTCAGAAACTAATCAACCAACAAAACAAAAGCTAGATGGAAAGGTTATAGCTCAATCACTCCCATAGACCTCATTATCTAAAGAAAAACAAACATTTGTCAGAGTAAAAGCTTATGAGTAAGACCATAGCAGCCAATAGCTTCAATGTTTTTAATTGGCGTTAGACATGGATTGTATGACAGTAGTACTTGAGTTATGCACTGTTCAGAGTTCAAAAGGAGTACTTTAACTTCATATAGCATAGTTTTTAACAAAAAGATTAAGACAGCACCTTCACGTAAGAGTTCATCTCAGCCATAGGATCAAAGTATATTATGTATTATAAAATATGATAAATAAGTTAAATAAAATATGAATTTGCAAGAGACTAAACAGATGTTCTAATACGTGATATATCAATAGTGAATGGACTGGCTTTGAGCCTATTTAACAAAACGTTCAAGAAAAAAAAATCTGTGCATATATCAACTACCTCAGGTTTCCAGACTCTGCTAGCATACACATTGCTGTGAAAAAAATCCGTGCATATATCAACTACCTCAGGTTTCTAGTCAATAATGTGATGGGTAAATAACTACTACTAATATCGAAAGCATTTATGTGAAAAAAATCCGTGCATATATCATAAATGCATATATCAACTACCTCAGTGTTTATATCATAAATGCATATATCTGTGCATATATCAACTACCTCAGGTTTCTATGATTGTATGATATAATTGACATTCACTTAACAGCAACAATCATAGAAAAATATGTTAAAAAATGATAGAATTGTGAGAGAAAAATCATAGAAATCATAGAAATAAAATAAAATTTTTATTTACCTTGATTGAATTGAATTGATAGCTTTCTACTCCTCCAAACAATCTCGGTCACCTAATAGCAACAATCAAATAAAGATAATCCATCAAATCAAAAATCAAAAAATCAAACTGGAAATTACAATTACAATTACAAGAATTACAAAAAAGTAATA